TTTTGATGTAAGATCATATTAAACTTTTAGAACTTTAAGCACTCTAGCACTAATTAACTCCGAAAAACGTCCATTAGTCTTCTGGCTAGCTTCATAAGGTGATGGGCTAGACGACCTGGGTTTAAAGACGACCTGGGTTTAAAGTCTCACCCCTTTTAATTATTTAATATTAGGTCATTCCTAATACTATTTGCTAGTAGTAATTAACTCCTTAATCTGATCTTACGTCGATGGGAATGCTTAAAGGCATGCTTAAAGTTTCATGATTTGCAAAAATTCATGAGATGTTGGTTCGACGCCGATCACGATCACTCCGATATTTCTTAGATGTTACTAAGCCATGAAATGGCGAGACAGCGGGGGGCTCCTAGCTAGCGCGTGCGTGTCGCTAGCGAGCACTCCCCTCTTAAGTCTTAACTACCTCTATTAGTAATATACTTAACACTAATGATAGTAATTAGGAAAGATTCTGGAGATTTTTTTTTGGAGATTTTTTTACTAACATATTGAAAATTTTTTAAGTTAGATTTGAAAACTTTCGATTTAAGTTTTAAATTCTAAAGTCAAATTTTGAAAACTTTCAACTCGAGAATTGAGATTCAAAAACTTTCAAGTCCAGATTTGAAAAATTGAAAACTTTCAATTTGAGATTTAAAAATTTTCAACTCGAAATTTGAAAACTTTCAACTCGATATTCGAAAACTTTTAAGTCCAGATTTGAAAATTTTGAAAACTGTCAACTTGAGATTTGAAAACTTTCAAGTCGAGATTTAAAAACTTTCAGCTCAAAATTTAAAAACTTTCAAACTCAAAACATGCTAAAAGATTAAAAAAATATTCAGAAAAAAGTGGGTAAAAAAGAAAAATATCGGTAAAAAAAAGACGTGGGAGGCGTGCGCTAGCGGGCCGGCACTGGGCCTTCTGGGCCTGATACGCGCGTGAGAGAATTAGCGATTCTGGAGACAGCGCGTGGTACCCCGGAACAACAGTATTATTTCGGCGGAATAAGTTCACTTTGTGACCCTCAAAAGTGATCGAAATCTAATCCATGGCCCTAAATCAGAAAACCGGATATCTTGACCCCCCCCCCCAAACTCTTAAAACCGGTGCAATTTGACTCCCTCGGCGGTTTTGGAGGGCGGTTTCGCTGACGTGGCGCCTACATGGCAATATTGACCGAGTCTTTGTTCCTCGTGGCACTTACGTGGCAGTAGAATTAAAAAATATGAGTGGGACCCATTAGTCATTCACACAAAAAGAAATATGGGCCCACTGATATGTGGGGCCCACGTGGCAGTGCTTTCCTTCTTCCTCCTCCCTCTCTCCCTTCTCTCTCTTTCTCTCCCCTTCTTCCCCTTCGGCCGGCGGGCGGGAGGGCAGTGAGAACGAGCGGCGGCGGGCGGCGAGGCCGGAACTGCGGCGGCAGGCGGGAGGGCAGGCGAGGGCTGGGAGCCCGGAATCCTACTCCCCATCTCCGGCGCCCGCCACCACCACCGCCCGGAGGAGGAGAGCTTCTCGCCGGTGCTGCTACTAATCCCCATACCCACCTGCTCAGCTCAGCTCAGCTTCCCAGCTCGGCAACTGAGGAGAGGGAGAAAGGGAGGCAAGAAGAAGAAGCCGAGGAGCTCGGCGAGGTGAGGAGGGGAGCCGAGGAGGAGGCTGAGGAATGCGGCTGTCCTGGCACTCATGCTCTCCTCCCTCATCGCGCTCTCCATCATCCGCGCCAGGTTCTCCCCCATCCTCCTCTTCTTCCTCTCGCCGCCGCCGCCGCCGCTGTTAATTGTTTTGTTGGATGCTGCTATGGCGAGAGGCGAGAGCTGATTTGGAGGTTCTCCTTCGCAGCTAGTGATGGAGGCGAGGCCCTCAAGCTCGTGGCCGACGAATCCAAGCTCGTCGTCACCACCAATCACGTCGTCGTCAACACCGAATCCGGCGACTAGTCCTCGTCGTTGTCGTCGGCAGCTGGTAATTACGAGATGTGTTTCTTGGATCTGCTCGCGCGTGAGCGGCGCAGTGCAGCGCATTGCTTGAGCTGGCTTGGCTGATTCGTTCTTGGCGATTTCATATCCGTTCTTTCGATTTGGCTTTAGTTCAAACAAGGACTAGAGGAGAAGAAAAAAAGGAAAAGGAATCGAAGCATCCATAATTTATTTCTTGAATTTTTTTCTCCCGGCGAGTTGCTATCCTGGTTCATAATTTATTTCTTGGGCTTTCTGGAGTTTTGCGCTAAAGAATGGCGTGGATTCGGCTGCGAGATTCCGCGACCAGATCTAATTAAACTGATTCTCCTCGTGATGCTGCAGCGGAGGAGGTCGCCGCTCCGGCGAAGCCCACCGGGCGGCGGCGATGGGGCCAAGCCGGTGTGCTACGAGACGAGCCGCCGCTCCGACACATGCGAGGCCGCCGGCGACGTGCGCGTGGTGGGGAGCAGTCAGATAATGATGCCGTGCGCGTTCGTCGCCGCCCGCCGCCGCTCGCTCTCGTTGCCCTCCCGCCCGCCGGCCGAAGGGGAAGAAGGGGAGAGAAAGAAAGAGAAGGGAGAGAGGGAGGAGGAAGAACGAAGCAAATGTCAGTGGGCCCACATTTATTTTTTTTGAATGACTAATGGTTCCATATATATTTTTTAATTCTACTGTCACATAAGTGCCATGTCAACGCCACATGGAACGAAGACCAATATCGCCACGTAGACGCCACGTTAACAAAACCGTCGAGGTGGTTAAATTACACCGGTTTTAGGAGTTTGGGGGTCGAGATATCCGGTTTTGTGGTTTAGGGTTCGATCACATTTGAGGGTCATGAAGTGAACTTATTCCTATTTCGGCGAGCATATGCGGGGCCTACTCGAACTTTTCCATGTCTCTTTTATTTCCTCCTGACGGGCCCGGCCATTCCATTTTGGGCCTTCTTCGTCTGATCAAGCCCAACGATTCTTCCCGGCAGATCCGCTCAGTTCGTCGGCCCCATACGGGAACAGAACCGGGGTGCCGGAATTGGAAAAAGTACACCGAAGGTCCCTCAACTTATCATCGGGATTAACAAACGTCCTCAAACCACAAAAACAAATATGCGAGATCCCTTAACTATACAAAACCGGTCACCCGAGTTGCTTCAGTGGTTTTGTCCCCGGGTTTGGCCTACGTAGCGCGTGAGACCCACGTGGGCCCCATATGTCAGCGTGCCACGTCATCACTATCTCTCTCTTTCCCTTCGTCCTTACTCTCTGTCTCACTTTACCTCTCTCTAGGCTGGCGACAGGCGACGCGGTGGCGGCGGCGACGTGGGAACAGGCCTCCCATCCCGACAACCAACGCCTCGCTCTTCTTCACCTACGACGAGGCCACGCACCCGCTCACGCCGCCGGCCTCCTCTGTTTGTGTTTGGTGAGTGGTGTTTAATCGGTGTCGGTGTTTGGTGGATGCCGTGCAAGCCGAGCGGATGCACGCGGGGTTGGAGGAAGCGCAGCGACGGCACGTCCGGGCGCTGGTGGCGGCCGCGGCGCGCGCCACAACAGGGAGGACGCGTGCGGCGGAGGCCAAGCTGGATCGCGCACGCTGCCGCAACGCGGAGCTGGAGGAGAAGCTCCGCCAGATGAGCGCGGAAGGGCAGGCGTGGATGGGCGTTGCCAAGAGCCACGAGGCTGTCGCCGCCGGCCTCCGCGCGATGCTCGACTAGCTCCTCCAGTCCCCCTATGCCGTCGCCGCCACCGCGGGGGAGGGCGACGCCGAGGATGCGCAGTCGTGCTGCTTCGAGACCCCAGGCGGCGGCGCCGCCGCCACTGCCACCGACGCGGTGTCCGGGGCGACGTCGTGCAAGGCCTGCCGTGTCACGGAGGCGTCCGTGCTGCCGCCTGTGCCTGTGCGGCGCCTGCGAGGCCGCCGTTGACGCTTGCCCCGTTTGCGCCGCCACCAAGATCGCCTCCGTCCATGTCCTCCTTTCCTGAAGTCACTCACATGTGCCACACCAGCTACTGCATGGAGTAGGAGATTTCGATAGCGCAACAGCTGTGGCCAGACCGAAACCAGGCATCCGTCAGCCAACTCCGGTGTCAAGCAAGCTAACAACAATCATCCTGTCCCAAGTTACATGGAAATTCATGCTAGGGAAGCCACAGTTCTGTGCATCAGCGATCTCCGGGCCATGCGAGTTTTGTCGGTGGAAACAACAGTGTTCGGTGCGGTGAATTGAATGGTTGATTGCCTATCTCATCTTCCGCAGGTACCATTGCTTCGAATATTTGGCAGCCCGGATAGGCATGCACGCCGTCCCGTCTCCCCGTCGGCCGCTGCTCGTCGGTTGTCCTCCCCATCAGCTGCCTCCCGTCCTGGCACCCCTTCTCCCCGCCGATCCTCGCCTGTCGACGACGTCCCGGCGCCGCTCCCCATCCGCCGGCCACCGCAGCTCCGCGCCTCCGCTTCGCCGGCCGCCGCGCGCTCACACGCTGCCTCCGCCGTCCGCCGCTCAACCCCCCTCGCCGTCCGGTCGTCTGCTCCCTACCCGTCGGCCAGCCTGCAAGAGAAGAGTGCGAGAGAGAGGGGGGAGGAAGGGAGAGAAGAAGAGGGGAAAGGGGAATTGACGTGGCAAGCCCACATGTGGGTCCCACGCGCCACGTAGGCTAAAACAGGGTCAAAACCACTAAAGGATCTCGGGTGACTGGTTTTGTATAGTTAAGGGACACCTCATATCTGGTTTTGCGGTTTGAGGATGTTTTTGTATCCGATGACAAGTTGAGGGACCTTCGGTGTACTTTTTCCGCCGGAATTCCCCGGGGTGCCTCAGCCCTCATGCCTAGGCCCAGGCACGGCACGGCACGGTACGCCAGCCTGTGGGTCATGCCGGCACGGCTCATTTGCCACTACCGTGCTTGGGCCGGCGCTTCAGATGATGGGCCGGCACGAAACCTTGTGGGTCAGCCCGCAAAATTTGATGGGCCAGCATGGGTCAACTAAAGTCGGTAAGTCCAAAACCTTAAAGCATGTTCACACTGCCGAGTACTGACCATCTCCCTTCCCATCCACGTTCGGCCACTTCCTCCTTTCTCAAGCTCTCTCTCCTCTCCTCGCAGTCGCAGCGCAGTAGTCTCTAGGGTTTTAGCGGGCGGTTGTCCTCCACCCGCTCGCCGCGTGGCCGCCGCCTTCTCCCCGCGCCACCGCCGATGGACGTCGACTCCGACCCAGCCGCCGCGGGCAAGCCCACCCAGATGGACCTCGAGGACCAGGCATGCCGCCGCCGCCGCCGCCCGACTCCTCCCCACGGGGATTCTACCTTCAGTTTTTGATTGTGACTGTTTTTTTTTTGCCCCTGATGATGGACCCTGTGCAGACTGACGCGAAGGGGAAGGGGAAGAGCGAGGAGCTCGCGGACTCCATCGGGAGCCTCTCCATCGGCCCGGAGCGCACCAATTTCAAGAAGAAGCCGGTGATCATCATCGTCATCGGCATGGCCGGTACATCGATTTCGCATGCTGATTGGTTCATCCTTTGATGTTTAGTGGCAACCAACCTGTCATACAATGAGCTCTTGTTGAGTAATTTTGGGATTGGGAGCTCAGGCCTCAAGGGTCTCGGTTTATGTGATGTAGGGACGGGGAAGACAACTTTTATGCACCGACTGGTATGCCACACCCAGGCTTCAAACATGAGGGGTTATGTGCTCAACCTTGACCCTGCGGTGATGACGCTGCCGTTTGGGGCCAACATAGATATCCGTGATACCGTTCGGTACAAGGAGGTGATGAAGGAGTATGGTCTTGGCCCCAATGGCGGTATCCTCACCTCTCTCAACCTATTCTCCACCAAGTTTGACGAGGTGTGCTTTTCGATCATCATATATTTCATCTCCGTATGTGTTTAGATCAAGTGGTTGTTAGGATTGGGTTACTTGAATGCACACTATCAGGAAGTACTTCAATACCAAGTTAGGCAATACTTAGGCAATTTAATCACTTCAATGGTAGTTTGTATGCAACGATAGTTAGTTAGGGAGCAACAGAAATGGACAGTGAAGAGTTCAGCGATAAGTTTCGACAGTTCAATTTCATTAATAGTTTCTAAATAGTTCAAGATTTCACATATACACGCGTAATATTCAATTAGAAGTGTTATTGTCATGCAGCACATAGAGATTCCCAAATAAACTTGCCTAGATTGAGTCCTGTTCCCTTAAAAGATACAATGTAATGAATGCTAATTTAATTTGGTTTATAGGAAGATTATCGTGCATGTATGCTACTAATTGGTTCTGCATAGGTAACTTTTCAATTCTTACCTGGAGATGCTTGCACAGTGTCTAATTATGGTTCTAATAGCTGTATGGAATGTGTGTAGGGAAACACTAAATAATGGTCATTTCTCAACAAACTAGCTTATTGATACTGTTGGATGGTCAACATAATATAAAATTATAATGTTTAACAAATATGTCAATAATGATATAAAATAAACATAAGGGTAGAAAATATGCCCCTAGCCCGTGCAGATGCACGGGTTGATGACTAGTCTAGTAAATTTGTTAAAGGAATGCAGTCTGCTTATCATGTTGATGGGATAATATTTCCACAATTCCATGTAAAGTGGTTCAGAAAGCGAGCTTGCTTTTTGCTTACTGCAGTGTACAGATAAATTTGGTTGACACATGATGCAATTCTGCTAATGATCATATGTAACACCTAATAATTGTCTTTACAGGTTATATCTGTTATTGAAAGACGAGCCGACCAGCTGGATTATGTCCTGGTGGACACGCCAGGGCAGATTGAAATCTTCACTTGGTCGGCTTCAGGAGCTATCATAACAGAAGCTTTTGCATCGACATTTCCAACAGTTGTCGCATATGTTGTTGACACCCCCAGATCAACGAGCCCTGTTACTTTCATGAGCAACATGCTTTATGCCTGCAGTATTCTGTACAAGACCCGCTTACCGATGATTCTGACATTTAATAAGGTTGATGTTGCCAAGCATGAGTTTGCTCTTGAGGTATGTTTGCCATCTATGAATATCTAATTCCTTTGTTGTTGATTCTGGACACCATAAGTGTTGCATTTCAGTAATGCGGTATCGGCATTATGCAACGACTCTCTTTGGTATTTAATCAAGTTGAAACTGTTGCACTTGATTGATATTTGCTCAAATTTGATTGGGCCTGTTAGTTAATTGTCTTATCTGTTTTTTTCCCTACATCTTCTGTAACCAGAGATTATGTTGTTTATTTTATCAGTGGATGGAAGACTTTGAGGCGTTTCAGACCGCCTTGGATTCTGACTCATCATACTCCTCTACATTTACCCGAAGCCTCTCTCTTGTCCTGGATGAGTTTTACAAAAATCTGCGGTCTGTTGGAGTATCTGCCGTATCTGGCGCTGGAGTCAATTCATTTTTTGAAGCTATTGAAGCAAGTGCCAAAGAATACATGGAGAATTACAGGTGTTTTAACTTGCGATGTAGTGCTGCTATCTCTGACTGATATATGCATAGCAAAAATTATATAAGTGGTTGTTATAAAAAAACTTTTCAGGGCTGATCTTGACAAGAGGATTGCTGAAAAAGAGAGGTTAGAGGCTGAGCGTAGGAAGGAGAACATGGAAAGGTTGCAAAGAGACATGGAAAACTCTAAAGGACAGACTGTTGTGCTCAGCACTGGTTTGAAGGACAAAAATCGTGCTACGGATATGATGGATGATGCTGATGAGGAGGAAGAGGAGGCGGCATTAGAAGATTTCAGGATTTCTGAGGATGATGAGGATGAGGATGAGGATGAAGGGGAAGATGAAGAAGTGGAGCATTTTGGCTTATAAGGTATTAAAATATTGCTCCGCTGGAATCTGAGTTACCCTAATGTACTCACTTGCAGAGCTCTATTAAATTTATTAATCTGAGTATGGTGTTTCTCTGTTCCAGATACTTGAATGTCATTTTGCTTTGAATGTTAATCGCTGTTACTATCTAGTTATTCATTTGAACCTGCAATTTATAGTCTTTTAGCAACTAATAGTATTGCATACACATGGATGATTGCCATGCCTCATGAAAAGCTTGTGCACTCATCTACATATAGTTTCTTGCACTTAATATGTAATAACTAGCCTATAGAGTCGTTCTTTTGTGTGGCTATAACCTCCCTCTTTATTGAATATGCTTACATGTTTGCAGCAATTAGCTTAAATTTGCAATAACAAAACAACGCAAATATACAATTATAGAACATACTTGTCAGGAAGTGTAACTACAACGTTAACAAATTTATCTTGATTTGTAATTAACAGTATTATCAGGACAACTAATAATTTATCGTGCTTTTGCGTGACTATCACCTCCATCTTTGTTAATTTTTAAATGTGTGATTTCTAGTAATATTGTAAATAGGTTTATAAAGCAAATATGTGGTACGAAGTGTAGTTACAATTTAGGCAAATTTTGCTACAGGACATTGCAACTTTGTGATTATAGCTGTAGAACACCGCACGTACTCACTTTTGGGGAAAAACACTCTCTAAGTGTGTTTATTTGCCAGTGGACACCATGGCCATTAAAATAATATATTTGTGCCGACATGGCGATTGGGGCCCAAAAATTTTACACGGAGTGACCAAACTACCCCTGGCGATAGGGGCCCCATCTGTCAGGCTTATCTTCTACCTCTGGTCGGGGCAGAGTCGGAGTCGTCGCCGCTTGACCGCCAAATCCGGCTGCTCCTTTTGCTCTCGAGTAAAATTAGTTGAGGGGAAGTCCTCCCTTTATCCTCCTCAACCGTTTCCAGCAAGACCATGACGAGGAGGCGGAGGAGGTGGAGCACGGCGACATCTAGTGCCACGGCCGCAGGAATATGCCGTGGGCGCCGCCGGACCACCCGCGCCTCCTAGAGTTAGAGGAGGCACCGCTGGTATGCACAGCTTCAAATCAGCCCCAAATACAGCAGCTCCAAGCCCTACCCAGCGCACAAGCCACGGTAGCAAAGCGAGCAGCGGCACTGAGGGCGTCGGCGAGGGGAGCAGCAGTAGCGATGGAGCAAGCAGGTTCTCGATGATTGACGGAGCGAGCAACGGCTACAGTGGAGCTGGTCGCAGAGTGCCGGCGGGACGTCGGCGAAGCAAGTGAAAGGTGGCGGAGGCGAGCTCCTCGCGGCGGAGGCAAGCATATGTCGCAAAGCAGATTCGACAGCGACGATGAGGTGTTGGAGATGGCAGCGAGCTCCATCGTCATTTCTTTTTCTTTTTCTTTTTCCTCTGTGATTTTTTTCTGCAGGATGAAAGACTTGATCGAATCTGATTTTTTTTCAATCCTGTGGATCAATTATCGTGGATCAAATCTGATATTTGATTTGAATATAGCTAGCTTAGAGAGAGAAACAGACAGGAAGAGAGAAGATGTTCTTGGGTAGCTGTAGAGAGAGGAAGGGAAGAAGCTGCTGCCAAACATCACCTGAACGCGCAGGGGCAGTTTGGTCACTCCGCGTAAACTTTTGGGTCCCCTATTGCCTCGTCAGCACGAATACATTATTATAATGGACGCGGTGTCCACTGGCAAATAACCACATTTAGAGAGTGTTTTTCCCTAAAAGTAAGTTTGTGCGGTGTCCTATAGCTAAAACCATAAAATCGTGATGTCCTGTAGCAAAATTTGCCTACAATTTATTGTTCTGAAATAAACAATACTATCCTAATAACAAACAATTAACCATGATTATGCTACATTCGTCACTCTAGTCACGTCTTCGTGAGACCTCGAGTAGCTGCCGGCAATCGCTTTATCTTCTAACATTACACCTTTGTTCTTTGTGTCCACTACCTTGAGCATTTTGCTTAACCCAACAATCTCTTCTTGAAAGACACTCAACTATCACCTCAAAGCATATAGGTAGATGAAACACTCAAAGCCAACTTGTTCGTTACATAAAATTATTTGAGATGAAAGGATTTACAGTTCCAAGGGTGTCCTGTAATTAAAATGTAAATCAGTCAACAGTCAAAAGGTTCATATCTCTTCAATAATTATAGAAACTAAAACTATGCAAAATGGCAAGTAACTTCATGAGCATTAAACGTTGTAGATATCTTGTAGGATCATTTGCATTGTCAGATCTCTTTAGTCCTGGATCACATTCAAAACAATGTAACTCTAGGGGGAAAAAAGGTAGGATGCTGAGCAATATGAAATTTTCACTTGAAAAAACAGATTATATTGTACATGTGACAGTATTCATATATTGGTACTATAATAATAAGATAAGATAATAGAGGCTTAAATAAACCGTCAATTGTAAAGGAGCTGACAGCACGGACATGTTTTAAACCCAACAGGTGGGATGAGCCAGGTGCGGTTCATGCCATAGGAGCAAATGAGTGATGACACATAGGAGAGCCTGGCATACAACGTAAGTACTCCCTCGATCCAAATGTGTTAGACCTATTACTTTTGTCACCAAGACCAAGGAGAAATTAACTCATGCTGCATATAACAAAGAAAAATGAGTGTATAATACAGCCTATTTAGTGATGAGAAGGCAGGGAGCTAGCTAGCTACCTTTGGTTTGAATGACTCAGCCTATTTACCGCTCTCTTTGACTGGTCAAGCTATTGGAAATGAAACATGTCTTTAGATTGAGCAGAGAACTCTATGCATTCGAAGCTCTCCTAGAAATTAAATAGACACCTCATGTTGAAATGGGAGCATATATGAGTTGAGCTTCTGAGTGATGAGAAGTATTAATCCTATAGTGGTTATGCACAAGAAAATTTCTTTTAGGAGTGTGCATTGCTTTTTTTGACAAGATGTAGATGTTTTAACAGCCGGTTTTCAGTTTTAAGATTCTTTAATTCCATCTGATGTTCTTACTTTGTCTTGCAGGTGACTGAACGTAGCGTTTACTTGACGGTGTTTAGGAGAACCTAGTCATGCCTGGTGTTTCTTTCCAGGTGATTAAAACGGAAATGAAATTGTCAATATCATATCAGTAGGGGTGGCTGATTGCTAGTCTGTAAATCGACTCTTCTCTGGGTCAATCTCGTATGCTCATGTCGGCAATGTATGCCACGATTCTATAAAACTTGATATTGAACTTCTGTTTCCTACAGCTGCAATGCCCAAAGTTCATCGCAAATTCTTGGCGAGAGAAGGAAAGCTAAAAATCTGTTCGGTTGTAGTTCCATATAACCTTAGCCGGAAGAGGACCCTCTGACTTTCTTCCTTCTGACTTTGAGTCACTGATACGTGAGTTTATTGGGTAGAGGGTCCACATATCAATGATATAAGTTAAATATAAGTAGGTTAGAGCATCTCTAACAGTCTATCCAAATTTGACTGTCCAAATGTCTATTTGGCCAACTCTCCATTTAATTTAGCAAGTCAAATTGTCTTTTACTCCAACAGCCACTCTATTCGTCCTCTATATTTTGAGTTTATTACAATTGGGCTCACATGTCAGTCTCTACACCTCCTTCTCCCTCATCTTTCTCCCATTCTCTCCAAACCCCCCTTCCCTCTCTCATCTGCCGCCGCCGCCCCATCCCCATCCCCACCGCCGCTCGGGCTGTGTCCCCATCCGCCGCCGCCGCTGCTCAGGCTCCACCCGTCGGTGCCGCTCTTGGCGGCAAATCCGTGCGCACGCAAGGCAGGCTCGAGGCGACGGCGAGGGAAGGCCACAATGGCGGCGCTAGGGCGGCTGACACTGGGAGGACGACGGCGGCGGCGCTGTGAGGGCGACAACGACGACGGAGCCGGGAGGACGACGACGTCGGCACTGGGCAGATGGTGGGGCAGGCAGGGAGGGAGCTCTCTTCGCCGGCACAGGGAGGGAGCTCTCTTCGCCGGCGGAGGGGTGGCGCGGATGGGCGGCGTCGGCGGAGAGAATGCTACGGGCGGCACTGGATTTGGGAGGAGGAGAGAGGCTACAGGAGGGAGAGAGAATAGAGGTGGGGCCCACGATTTAGCCAGCGCGAGCGACTTTGGCCAGCCAGGCTGTTGGAGTGCAAATTTGAGCCAAAATTGCTATAATATAACTTGGAAAGTGGGATAAGGAGGCTGTTAAAGATGCTCTTAGCGGATCTCAATCTACCTTAGCAGATTGGGAAAGAACCACCACTCCACCAGTAGGCAGTAGCAGAAGAATTATCTGCGAGTTTGTTTTCTACAAGAAGAATAAACAAAACCTGCAGGGCGGCGATGGTTTATCTTCTCTTCTCTGCATAGAAGGGAGTGGTTCCCCCACCCACGTAACTGCTACTAGAAAATTGATCGTTCGCCCTGTCCTTCCAGGGAAAAAAAACGAACAGTTTCTCTAGAAAAACCAGCCAATGTTTTTTAGAAACTACTCCCTCTGTTTCACAATGTAAGTCATTCTAACATTTTCTATATTCATAATAATAATAATGTTAATGAATATATATATATATATATATATATATATATATAGATTCATTAACATCAATATAAATACATTGTGAAACGGAGAGAGTAAAAACTAACTGCCTACTTAAAAACACGGCAAACCGGTTTGTTTTTATACCATTAGATGACATGGGTAATTTGCTAGTTACTGAAGAAGTATTACTACTGCATGAAAACTATCGTGCATCGTATGGTACAAATGCAAACTTAAACATAGTAGACTAGCCAACTTGAGGGTTTGTTTGTCACAACTCTAGTTTTAGCTCCATCTCTTAGAGCATCTCCAACAGCTTCTCTAAAATAGACTCTCCAAACATCCATATAGCCAGCTACCCATTTGATTTAGCAAGTTAAAGTTGTTGCTCGCTTCAACAGCCTCCCTATCTACCCTCTCCATTACAAGTCTATAACCAATGGGACCCATATGTCAGTCTCTATAACCTTCTTCCTCCTCTTCCACCCCATTTTCCCCACTCATACATAAACCTTCCTCCTCCTACTGGACTTGCCTCTGATGCTGCGGCGACGGGTGTGCGGGACGGGCTTCAGCGAGCAGCGGCGAGGCGACAGGCAGCGGCGAGCGGAGGCCGCGGTTGCAACGAGCAGAGGCGGCGCGCTGCGCCAAGCGGATGCCGGCGGCTGCGGCGAGCGGCGGGGGGGGGGGGGGGGGGGGGCACGCCTAGCGGAGGCCGCGGTTGCGACGAGCGGAGGCGGCGCGCTATGCCGAGCGGATGCCGACGGCTGCGGCGAGCGGCGGGGCGGGCCACGCCGAGCGGAGGCCGCGGTTGCGACCTGCAGAGGCGGCCGAATGAAGACTTCTCCTTCTCATCACCGTCCCAGCAGTTCCACCACTCGCACGGCGTGCCGATGCAGCAGCAGCAGCGAGCGTCGTCCACGCCTATGGGGACGCCGCCGACGCCGCCGCTGTCGACTTCGTCCACCGCGGCGGGCGCTGGGCACGACCTGTTCGAGGCGGCGGAGGGCAGTGCTAAAGAGAGAGAGAGTGAGGCTACTCGGAGGGACGGCGGTGCTGCAACGGATGGCAACGCTGCTACTCCTCGCCGTTGCATCGGAAGAGGTAGCGGGGAGAGCATTTGGCCAGCCTTGGGGATGTGGTTGTGGCTGGCTAGATTTAGCTAGTTGGGGGGAGTGTTTGGCTAACCATATAGCTTAGCCAGTGGGATGGAGATGCTGTTGGAGGCTATTTTTTCTCTGCTATGGCTAAAATTTGGCTTGGAGAGTCACTTACCCATTCTCTTGGAGATGCTCTTATAAAGGAGACTAGCTAGCTTCACTCAGTTGAGCTGGGTGCCTGGGTAAAGCTCTCACAAAATGAACTAAAGAGGTGGAGCTAGATTTAGGCTGCTCCACTACTTCACTCTAGATTTAACTTTTGAAACTAAATTTAGAAGTTGTAACTCTAATAAATAGGTATTTTAAGAACCAGTTGGTCAGTAGTCAGCTTCTGAGAATATGAAAAAGCTGAATTTTCTACCTTCTGAGTTTCTAGTTCATTTTATAGGTTCTAAGAATCGGAACGATAGGTTGAACTGTTTAAAAAAACTTCTAATTCTGGTGAAAAATCTCCCTTAGGGCACCCGCAATGGTTATCTATAAGCTTTCTATAAAAGATCCATGTCAGCATATTTTCCTACTTGGAAGAGATTAAATGAAAAGAGAGAGAGTAAAACTATCTACTAACTTGGAGATAGTCTATAGATAAAAAGAGGCAATTGATGAGAGAGCTATAGATACCTATGTAGACATACTATTGAGGTGGTTTACTATTAATCAGTCTATTGCTGAGATGTACATGTTTTATAAAGAGCACATTACTTTACCGTTGCGGGTGCTCTTGCGCGGCCCTCGAATTCGCAATTCGCTCGGCAGGATTTCAACATTGCGGCCTACTGCTTCTGCAGCCCATGATCCACACACACACTCCACAGCCCACAGCCCACTCCATCCTCTCTCCCCCAATTCCCCATCCGCTGCTCATCAGTCGCACGTACCACACCAGCATCCTCGCACGGTCGCGACCCCTCCCGCACCTCACCAGGTAGAGAGAGAGACGACGGCGGTGGTGGCGGGATGTTCCTGCGGCGGATCCTGAGCGGCGGGGGAGGGGTGGCGGCGCTGCGGGCGGCGCGCGCCGTGAAGGAGACGACGGGGATCGTGGGGCTGGAGGTGGTGCCCAACGCGCGGGAGGTGCTCGTCGGCCTCTACACCCGCACCCTCAAGGAGATCGAGGCCGTCCCCAAGGACGAGGGCTACCGCAAGGCCGTCGAGTCCTTCACCCGCCACCGCCTCCAGATCTGCCAGGAGGAGGACGACTGGAAGCGCATCGAGGACCGCATCGGCTGCGGCCAGGTCGAGGAGCTCATCGAGGAGGCCCAGGACGAGCTCAAGCTCATCGCCAAGATGATCGGTCCGCATTTCTCCCCCTCCCCTACGCCCCATCTCCATTCCTGTCGCTTATTTAGTTACTTCTTGTATTAATTCCTTATTCCTCCTACTGATCTGTCGACAAGAATCAGGGTAGTTGATGTGTAGATGTGGCCACTGGCTACCCATTTCTTTGATTCAACCAGTTATTTGATCCGATATACAACTGATCCGTGGACAATAACATCGTAGCGATTGGTATTTGATTTTCTTTTGGCTCCCTTTAATAGCACTGGTAGGGCAAATTATCAGCGTTGACAGTATGGTGTTTGCCAGTTTGTTGATTGGGGAGGGGGGGGGATGGAATGCTTTTTAGGTTGTCTGCTGTGCTGCCTATTAGTAAAATGCCTTAATTATTTTTCAGCGCTTATTTAAGGATCATGGATGTTCCATTTTACCTTTTGGTCACTAACCTAAGATTTTTTGTGAACTGACTGGTGCTTGTAACTTAACCAGAGTGTGTTCATTGCCATATTCACCATACTGTTGCTTTGTGTATGTCTGGTGGAGTGCCATGTATGTAAAATCTGGCTGGTCTGGAATCTAGTTCAGGCGTTGGGCTGGTGCTATGCATTGCATGTAGTAATGTACTGGTGTATTACTTCAGTGCTTTAAAATTTCTTCTTTGCTAGAATCCCAGTGAGTCAGTGTAATATTTGTTTTGTGAAAATTCAAATGAAATACATAGGTTTCCATTTTACATGATATGGCATAGAGAGGGAATTAGGAATATGGTGATGTTACTTGCGTGAGTAAGAAGAAATATGCTCCACAATCTTCGTAATTGTAGAGCATTTCTCTTCTATCTAAAGTCTATTCATCACACCTAATTGAAATAAACTTTACAAATACCATGCCGAACGACTGGGGAAAAAAAGGCTGAACCAAATAATCACTCACCCATGTCCCATGCACATCTTACCAATCCAGAGCACTCTCACTGATCGATGCTCTCTCAAATCTCAATACAGTGTATTGTTTTTTGTATAGAACTATGAATGAATGTAACTACTCCCTCCGTTTCACAATGTAAGTCATTCTAGCATTTCCCACATTCATATTGATGTTAATGAATCTAGACATATATATCTATCTAGATTCATTAACATCAATATGAATGTGAAAAATGCTAGAATGACTTACAATCTGAAACGGAGGAAGTATATTATAATTTGCATGGCATTAGCAACTTAATAGTGATTAAGAATTCACGTAACCATGCCACTACCCTTTACACTGAGTATCTAATAAGATTACGACATAAGGTGCACAACTATAGCTGTCTAGATCAGTCCTGTTGCTGCCATTAGCAACTGATACAGATTGGGTGCATGAGTTAAGCGCTTTGCAGAAACATTTTTTTCTTAAGTCTGTTTAGCCTGCTCTGTGATATTCTGAACTGTTGCATTATATGTATGGTTCAGTTTGTTTCCAATGACCAAGCTCACCCGTATGAAGGACATAGAGAATTGTAGCATATAGACCTTGTCGATCAACTGAATAATGTGTAGAATATTAGAAGCAAAATTGGTTATGAGGAATAGTTTGTTTGGCAATTTTGATGTGCATTGCATACATTGTCTTGTGCATTTCAATCTGTCATCCATATGTTTGCCTGTAGAACTGCCAGAATGGTTTTTATTTTTTAAAGAAAAGCACCATTTGGCTAAAACATGATTTTCAAATGCAAGTCTACTATCATTTGTCTTTTTTATCAATAGCTTGCTAAATTATCAAAACTATAACACTAGATTGGCATCCTTAATCAACTTAAATGTCTGTTCTGAAAATATCACAAGGATGGCTTGACAAGCAAGTAAAACTGTAACGCCTTGATTAAGATCTCTGACAGTGTCTGTGTCTGAACTCTGCAAATATTGCATACAGCACAACTTTTCTTTTATGGGGATGCTTTAGGCTTTTACCTTAAGTATATGGACATGTTTGTTCTGTTTGTTGATATAAATCCTTACAGCCTCAGTTGTTTAATATACAATGTTTTAATGGATGGCAGAATGGGACCCATGGGGTGTTCCTGATGACTATGAATGCGAGGTTATTGAAGATGACACACTTATCCCGAAACATGTTCCGCAGCATCGGCCTGTTGCACTCCCTGAGGAGTTCTTCAAGACACTAGATGCTGTCAAATCTGATCCTGCTCTGCAGGGTGAGTCTCCTCCTCAAGTGAAACCATAAAGACGTGAACTCTCCAAGATCTACCATTTGCACCATTTTGCTGCGTGGAGTAGACTATAGATTAGTTTCATGTGTTCTTTGCCAGCAATATTTGCTTGGTTGTTCCAAGCAGAATAAAGTTCTACCGAGCACTACAAAGAATGTGTTTAAACTGAGTGCTTCCACACAGTGAAATGTGTGATATTTGATACTGTGGACATCATTTTCTTTTTCTCTGTATTAATCTATGGTGACGAAAAGCAAACGTTTTACTGTTATCTACGGACTGCTTGATGTGCTCTAAAATCGTGCGATTCTTTTGTACCCATCACTGTCTTTCCTGTGCTTCTAATCTGCAGTACTGTCCCGGCAAGCTCTGAAGCGTTGTTGCTCAGATTTGCTGCTCGTTACAGCCAGTGCAAATGAAAGCTTTGATGTTCTAGGCTCCGGCTGATAGAACAAAAGCAGGTCTGCTCGAAGCAGCAGCCACGGGATAGGTTGCCGCGCCACGAACCCATAGATGAGCAGGTCGAGGCCATCCGGTGTCGCAGAATTACTCGCGAACTTAAAAAGGATACAACATGGTAGAAAGCTATGAACCACTTTTGTTCAAAATAAACCATTAATTAACAACTAAGCATATCTGGGGCATACCACAAGCTCATTTTGAGCTTAGACCCACTGTTGTTGTAACGAGCATAGTCAAGTTCACTACTCCAGCTGTTATCTATGTTCAGGTTGTTAGTCCATGGCAGCAGCAAAAGCCAAAAGACCCCCTTCCTATATCCACCCAAAATCTCACTCCCTCGGAATCTCCACAAGAACCACACAACACCAGCAATTGCAGACGCTGGGATCAGTTGGCAGCATTGGCCAGATGAAGAAAGCCACCACTAGCCATTCCAACCATGTTGCTGTTGAGCTGAACCTTCTGCTCCTCCCCATCGCCGTAGGGCCAGTAGAAGCCTACTGGCTCTGCAAAGTTGTACGATCCTGGCAGCGGAAGAGCCTGTGGTGGTGGTGGTGGTGGTGGTGGTGGTGGTGGTGGTGCGTATGGGGGACCACATGGCTGGAACTGCAGGAGGTTGTGGATGAGATACGGTGGCGCGCTGCTCGACTGCTGGGAGATCGGCGGGCTGCTCATCAGAGTGATTTGGCCTCCTGCTTCTGGTGCTGGATTGTTGCTGTTGCTGCTGCTGTTGTGCCGCCTCCCGGACACGCTGATCGGGAGGTCGCTCTGAGAGATCGCTTCCAGGTTGTACCGGCTTGGCTCGAAGTTGGTGACGGCGTTGGCGCCCCTGAACTTCAGCGCTGCAACGTCATACGCCTCCGCTGCTTCTTCTTCGGTCGCTGCAAGGAATGTGCAAGTATGCTGGTTTAGTATGCATCACAGAGTGCAAAATATAGTGGTTTCTGAATGTCGCCACAGTAAGGGAATTAGAGCGAGATTGAATAGTGCATAGCTTGTAGATTATCTGTAAAACCAGTAACAAATGAAATGGTACACAGATGATAATAATTGTGTCAAGATGACAGTAACTTATTTGAAAGGGAACAACAAAGCATTAACAGCACTTCAAGAAACAGTAAGGTATCTATGACTATTCTGCCATATAACTTAACTACTTAAGACTATAATATGGTCACTTGTCCATATATGACTATGAGCATACTTTCTTAAGAAAAAAAGCATACTGTCATACTACTTTTTCGATATAAGGGGCATCAGAACAACAGGCTCCTACCAAAGGTGCCGAGATACAAGTCCTTGTTGCCTGCAACACGACCAATTCTTGCCTGCCAGCGGCCATGTTGGTGGTGCCTGGGGAAAATAGCAGGAAGTTGAGCAGATTGTAACTGACAAAGAAGATGACCATTGGTTGATTGGTTCATGTAGTTGAAAATTACCTTGTTACACCTCTGTAGATCGATGCACCTCTAGAAAAGCCACTGCTCTTCCTGCAGATTTGCATGAGAATTGAGAAAGTTGTAAACACGTATATAAGCCTGAACTTCCTGTGGTTGTAGCACAGCAAAAGAACGTGGTTTTAAATACAAACCTCCTTAGTGAGGCTACAAGCTCCTGCTTGCTCATCTTTTGCATCTCCTCAATCTCTTTCACGTAACTTTCTTTCTAAGAAGAGAACAAGTTCCATTTCAGTTGCATCATGACCAACTATAGCAATACATGATAATAGTTCTGAATGCATCCTAAAATAAAGAGACCAATCTAAGCACACAGCTCCACATAAAGGTGAGCACATAGTGATGTGTTTTTTTTTCCTTTTTTCTTTTGCGACGATAATGATGTGTATCTTTCTATTAAGAATACATGAGTATGTCTCAGTCCACAACCAGCATAAATGAATCCAAATGAACAGTTGAAGGTTGACAAAGATCTCAAATTTTAAGGCTATGGATTAACTGTAAATAAGACATTAGAAGTACACTAAGATCACTACAATATGAGGTGCGGGATAAGGGCACACATTTTAGGAGGCACAAAAAAACTGCTTATATGACCTCAGTAGGATATTTGCAGTAACTATGGGGGGCTGTTTAGGAAATCAGGAAAGCGTGACACTTACAGGGAAGTTAGTGGTAGCATTAGCACCCCAATATTTCAGAGCAGCAAGGTCATATGCCCTAGCAGCCTTATCTTCTATGTCATAGCCACCTGCAATTTACCACATGTTTATTTACCTTTACTTACCCAGGAAAAGGCATACGAAATGATACATAAGACAGGACTTAGTTGCTCATACCCAAGTAAACTGAAGAAGGCCCCCATGCAGTTGGCAGGATAAAAAGCACATACAGAGTAGACATTATAAACCAGGTTAGTTCCAACAAATAAACAAGATTATATATTAAAAAATACAGGGATAACAGTTTAGCACACAACTTCCTGACTTCCTCAGTGAGAAAACATTCACTGTATACAAATGTCCCTTCCATTCAAACATTGAGATATCCTAACAAAATTATACTCACTGAATGCAAAGAAGCAGCATGTCATAGTATCACTATCATGGAACCACTGGTAGTCCTTTCTTAAAAAAAAAAAAGGAACCACTGCACTGGTTCAGAAAAAAAAAATAGCATGTCATTTACATCAAATGCAAATTAAGATAACATTTTCCCCCCAGGTTTACGGGATCCCCAAAACCCCATTGTACATATCTCACACAAACTCTCCTCCTTTATCAACATATAACTTATAAGGCATGATTCTTTTTTTCTTTTTCAAAAATTAAGATAACTATATCTTCCAAAATAAAAGGACAGCAACAAGAGGATGCTAGCTTACATAACTCGAAAGCAATGTATCTCTCCACACAACAAAGAATGCCCCCAACATTTCTATTCACGTGATTCATCCTGTTAATATATATTATTTCCCAAATGCAATTATATGTATGGAATCTTTAATTGCATGCAATGATTTTTCTCCTCAGAACTGGAGTTTTGCTTGCACGATGCAAAAGAGGCAAGGGTGGCTCAAATCTAACGATAGAATCTGCACATATGAATGCATCAGCATGTGTAAGGAGTTATTTGTGTAATACGTATTACTTATTACATAATGCAGTTCAAAACCAAACAGCAGAATATGCAATGTTCACTTGATGAAATTGCATTTTGCACTATGCACGTGATTTTAGAGTAGCTATCCTCGGATGATCGGATCAACCGATAGATTTTTTTTTACTGATATCCCAGCATATATGTACCATCTGACAGTAAAATATACCATTACATGTAGCTATATATCCAACAGTAAATTGATCCGTGGAATTCTGATTTCTGGGTGTCTCATATAGTAGGCATTAATATATGAAATGCAGCCATATCATACAAGATCGTGGACACTCTCTATTGCGGAATTGCCGCCATGGCCAATAATCACATCTCCACTATCGATCGACGCAACTTTAGACCGCTTTGCTATTTCAGCAGTAGTCTGGAACTGCTTTGGCTCGAGGCCATGAGCCCATGACGTCGTAGACACCAGTAGCACGCATGTCTACCTGTGCAACTCTGCAAGCGTATCGAGTAAAGTACAAAAGTTTGTTGCCAAATGCCAATCAACAAGGACGGACAGTAGAAACAACTCTACTGGAGTCGTAACTGGCAAAGCAAAAATAAAATAAAATTCAAACGTGCGTTCCAAAACCACTTTTGGTCACACCTTAGCTGTCCCCTACACAACCCTGGTAGCGTTGCAAAGTTGCGACTCGTAATAAATTTTTCAGAAACAAAAACTCTCGCCGTGTGTAATGCAGAAGAAAACAAAAAAGGAGAAAAGAAAGACTTGCAATAGAAGGAAGAAAGAAACTGACCCAAATAAAACCATCTAAACATGCAGTACATCACCCATGAACTACTACTAAAACCAGGAAAAAAGCAAAAGCTGCATGCACCACAGCAGCAGTCCTGCCATGGCAAAGCTGTCATACAGATACACGACGTCACTCTACCAACCACGGGACCAGTTAATCTCCACGCCTACAAGATTAACCAACATAAATCGCCTTGCTAAATCGCTTTAGGCTCTAGCCGATCTATTGCATCAGAGAAATGGCCACAAGAAAGATTAAAAAAAAAAGAGATACTACTAGTAGTAGACAGAACACAGAGGTATACTAGGCAGCGGCTACAATACCCCCTACCTACGGTTGCACGGTCAAAGAGGGGTGACCCACCGGGGCCCGGCACCGCAGAGAATCCGGGAACTGTTGCGAGTCTAACGGAGATGCTAATGTCACCTCAACTTGATGCACACGATGGCCGACGCGACCCGTCTCTCGATCTCCCCCCGAAACGGCGCCGGCACCCCATCCCATCCCATCCCATCACGGCGAACTCATCACCGTCCCCTCGCCGCCGTCGATACCCCTCCCCGCCGGCGAGGCCTCCTCGATCGGTGACAGAAAAATGACGGTACAGAAAGGGTAATGGACTAATGGTGATTAGCGGTAATTTTAATTAGTAAATTACCTTGGCGGCCCTTGCGCTTCTGGCCTTCTCGCCGGCACGTGTTGTCCCACAGGTGCGCCTCGTATCGCCCCGTCCACCTGTGCCTGCGCCACACGTGCGGTCCTCGTGATTAGCGCGTGTGAAAAATCACGTGGCGATTAGTCGTTAATCACACTCCCTAACCATGCACTTATTATTATCACTCTCTCTAGTCTATCTCTACGCGCGTGGTATAGTGGTAGTAGGAGTAGTATTACCTGGTCACGCCGCGGTAGCAGGAGGTCCTCTGGCCGGTGCCCTGCACCAGCGGCAGCACCGGCGACGGCGAGCGCACGGCCCGCGCGGAGGAGGAGCCGCCGCCGCCGCCGTCGCTGCCCCAGCTGGTGGGGGTCATCACGCTGCCGTCGGTGGTGGCGCCCAGAGCCAACGTGCGCGGCGCAACGGCGCCCATGCCGCTGCTGGCGCCGTTGCAGGTGCAGGAGGACGGCGGCGGCAGGAGGAGGAGGGGCGCGGGGTCGGCGACGGCGACGGGGAGCGGATGCTGCGGTGCGGCGGCGACAGGGAGGACGAAGTCGTCGTAGGAGAGGCCGTCGAACGGGTAGATCAGCGCGTCCGCCGGCAGCGGCCCCATGGGCGGGAACGCGAGCGAGATGGCGCCGTTCGTCGGCGGCGACATCGTCGTAGACCTATCAACGGCGCGTCGCGGCGGCGGAAGAAGAGGCGGAGGAGTGGAGGAAAAAAAAACGAAAGGAGACGAGACGAGGCGAGGCGGGCGGTAGGAGTATTTATAAGGGAGGGGGTGAAAACGATGGCGAGAAGGTGTGTGTGTCGCACTTCTCTTGGTGATCTGGTCTCCGCTTCGCTTCGGCGCGGGCCTGGGTTGGGGTGGGGCTAATGGAAATGGGAATGGAATGTGTGGTGGTGGGGTAGGTGGGTCAGGGCGCTGCGTCGTCCTCTTGTACTACGATGCCTGCCACGGCCAGTGTCTCCTCTCTTCTCTTCTCGAGTTCGAACAGTGAGACAGACACAGAGTGGCCCTGGCCTTTCAGTCCGGTGGTTCCGGTTCTAAATTATTTGAAAATGGAATTGGAACTTTGGAAGGGCCTGATAGTGGATATGTACAGAAGGGAGAAGCAATTTTTTAAAAAGGAGAAAGCTCGGCTTGTCTTCCAACCTAAGGAAAAGGGCAAAGACATGTTTTTGTGTGGGGGTCAAAGTCCCTTATTTGAAATTTTTCAGGTGCAAAGAAAAAAAATCTGATGAAAAATGCAGTTGTTTTGTCTAACATGACCAGAATGCCCCTAGCGTGTGTGGTACTTTTGCTTTCTTATGGACGCACGAAGGGCAAAAGAGAGATAGTCACATTCGTAACCGTCGTGGCGAGTATTTTTTAATCTGGAAATTGGTCAAACTCATGTAAACAAAAACGGAGATAGCATTGAATACAATACCAAGTTGGTTGTCGTGGCTTGGACGGCATGATCTCATAGTTGACGGTTCTGTGCACGAACTAAAGTCTTACTTATTGAGAAGATATTGTTACATATTTACTATGTTAGTTTTATCTTTACATAGTTTACTACAATATGTAGTTGCGTTTACCATGCAATGCTATAGATCCTAACAAAACAAGTGCCAGAAAACAACGAATCAAGAGGAGCAACATGAGAATTGATCTGAGAGCCTGATCATGATGATCCCTAGTAACACTAAAATAGGATCAACAATCCAAAAAGGAAGAAGGTTCGACATGTGCCTTAAGGTAAAATCTTAAAATAGTAGTAAGGATTTCTTTGGGTCAAGCTCCCTTTAAGAATTTTCAGTTGCAGATAAAAAAAATTAAGAAATGAACATTGGAGGATGTCATGGTTATCGTGGCGAGTATTTTTTTAATCCCAGAAATTGGTCAAACTCATGTAAACAAAAATAGAGATAGCATTGAATACAGTACCAAGTTGGTTGTCGTGGCTCATGGACGGCATGATCTCATAGTTGACAGATTTGTGCACGAACTAAAGTCTTACCTATTGAGAAGATATTGTTACATATTTAATATGCTTGTTTTATCTTTACATAGTTTACTACAATACGTAGTTTCGATTACCATGCAGTGCAATAGATCCTAACAAAACAAGTGCCAGAAAACAACGAATCAAGAGAAGCAACATGAGAATTGATCTGAGAGCCTGATCATGATGATCCTTAGTAACACTAAAATAAGATCAACAATCCAAAAAGGAAGAAGGTTCGACGTGTGCCTTAAGGTAAAATCTTAAAATAGTAGTAAGGATTTCTTTGGGTCAAGCTCCCTTTAAGAATTTTCAGTTGCAGATAAAAAAAAGTTAAGAAATGAACATTGGAGGATGTCATGGTTATCGTGGCGAGTATTTCTTTAATCCCGGAAATTGGTCAAACTCATGTAAACAAAAATGGAGATAGCATTGAATACAGTACCAAGTTGGTTGTTGTGGCTCATGGACGGCATGATCTCATAGTTGACGGATTTGTGCACGAAATAAAGTCTTACCTATTGAGAAGATATTGTTACATATTTAATATGCTTGTTTTATCTTTACATAGTTTACTACAATACGTAGTTGCGATTACCATGCAGTGCAATAGATCCTAACAAAACAAGTGCCAGAAAACACAACGAAACAAGAGGAGCAACATAAGAATTGATCTGAGAGCTTGATCATGATGATCCCTAGTAACACTAAAATAAGATCAACAATCCAAAAAGGAAGAAGGTTCGACATGTGCTTTAAGGTAAAATCTTAAAATAGTAATAAGGATTTCTTTGGGTCAAGCTCCCTTTAAGAATTTTCAGTTGCAGATAAAAAAAAGTTAAGAAATGAACATTGGAGGATGCATGGTTATATCATGGGTCTCATGGTTTAAAATATATGGTGTGCATAAAAGAATACTATATATTATTTATAAAGAACAAATATTAGCCTTGCATAACATCAGTTTGAACTTGTGACCGAATTTATGTTTCCGTTATGATGTTTACGGTAACCTCAGTGAACCCATCCCTTTATGCGCCCCCCTGACAAACACTCTAAGAGATAGAAATTAGCGGCACATCTCTTATATCACTACAATCCTGTTGAAAGTCTACCTGCATATGCATAATATTTTAAAATCATGTTAAAAACCCATACTTCAACAAATATATCTTGTAGAGACATTTTCCTAATACTATAGAGACATTTAAAAAATGCCTTTACAGTGTTATAGAGACATTTTGAAGAGTGTCTCATAAGTGCCTTTTGGTGAATTGTATCTATGAACTAAGAGGCATTTTATAAGATGTCTTTATACAAATAGAGGTACTTTGTAGAGGCATTAATATGTTGTGGCAACTATAGCAAATCAATATGAAAAAAAAAGAAAAAAAATTATCCCTTATCAATCCTTAAACTCATGACCTGTTGAGTTTACCATTTTTTTCCTCAATGCACTAACCATCTCAACCTCATATAATTACATATAAGTATGTGATTTGTGTTACTTATATCTAGTTACTTGATATATATTAATATTTGGAAAAAATGCCTTTACATATAAGGCAAATTTTAAAGTGCCGAAAAGATGGCTCTACAAGATAAATTTAACAAAGTATGTTAAAAATGTCTCTAAAGTGTCCCTAAAGTAAAAATATTTTAGGCGATTTTGAGAGTGTCTTTAAAAAGTGTCTCTAGACTATAGAGCTTTAAAACTTACAGGCATTTTAAAAATTCTCTACAAATGAGCCTCTACGTGAGGTTTTTGTTGTTGTGCCATATGCATATGCATGTACTTAATATTCGCAAATAGCAGGATTTAAATACTAGTGGATGGAGTCATGCACCTATGTCATCACTAATGACAAGTGCTTCCCCTTTTTCTTTGTCATCATATCATGAATGCTTTACATCGAAACATCTTGAAGCGTTCTATTGTATTTTGCTGACCCTTTATTTTTTTTTCATTTTTACCATGAATATAAGGAACAAGTAGTTTTACGAACCGCAACAAATGTGTACATTCATGGACAAATGTTTTCCCCCGGAATGTGTGATGGAATTTTCAGTATATTTTGCATTGTGCTACTCCTACATGATAACATGTTGTAGTACGCAATTAACCTTGTTCTGCTTCGTGGTTTGGAACATTGGATATTCTCCTGTGTACCGTGGAGCAAATAAGGTCGCGACCAGCTCGGATTTATCTCAAAACTGCAGTGGGTATGAAACCAGACCAGCTCGCGCGATCCACGACCCTTTTTTTTTTTTTTTGAAAACTCTCCACGTCTAAATCCGATTGACTCTTTGTTTCTTCATAGTAGTGTCATGAACAGTATGTCGTCTTATCGGGACAAAAGCAATGCGGGCGGCCGGGGCCGGTGCTCATCTTAAATGAATGATATCATAGCTATGGACTTTATAATTCACTGCATACAGCTCACTGCAACAAGTTGTTTCGGTTTTATGTGCATGACTGATAAGAAAATGATCGAGTAAGTGAATAACTTTGTTGCCATTTATGCATTTCATAGAAAATGATATACTAAAGAACATATCAGATTTAAACAAAAAACTAGTATACGAAATGTGATATACTCTTAGCTTTTAATTCAATAAATATTTTTCTAATATTTATATAACATATTTTAAATTTAAATTGGACTTGATATATAATATTAGCTTATATTTTTCATCGATGCAATTGTATTTTCTACGCAATTATTTCTTTAAAAATATTATTAGATTTCATATACATTTCCTGTGACTCCTTTGAAACCAAGTATTTTTCTTAGGAACTTCATCCAAGAATTGAAATCCTATAAAAATATTTCCTATAAAGCCCTCAAAGAATTGTATATATAGGAAGGTATTCCAAAATTTCAATAGGATTTCTTCCATTCATCCACTTGGAGGATTCCAAAATTTATCAAAGGTCGTGTTTTACATTTCCTTCAAAAAGTCGAAGGCAGCATGTCCATATGATGCATCTAAACATATCTTTTACCAGATTTTGTGTTTTCCCCCATATTGTGTTTTGCATTTTTTTTTTATATTCCTACTTTTTTTTCCAATTTTCCATTCCAAAGTAGCCCTTAATTTTTTTCTAGATAAAATCATACCTTCTATACAATCATAATAAAAAAATAACATTTCAATTAATATGAAAATTTCTAGTCTCGAGAGTGACCATGTCAATACCTTCTTTTTAGCCATCCAAGAGAGCAATTCTTATGACAGTACTACTGTTACATGACCACACATGGTGCAAAGCTCCCACCCCATGAGATATGTTCATGCCTCCTTTCAAATGGGGTAATTTCAAAGATAAGAAATTCCTATATTTTTTTCGTTCCACAGGAATCCTCAAACTTAGGCGGGGGCTTTGGAGAGTCAACAACAAATTATCAAGCGATTTTCACATTTCGCATAGTGGTAGATCAGTTTTGTTTCACTAAAAACTCTAGTAGAAGTAAATAATCACATAGAAACAAAATGGATCTACATCAGGAAGTTACGTGATCTTTCTTTTTAAAATACAGCTCAATTAAACACTATCATTCTCCTATACTGTTTTTTTTCTTCTCAATTAACCACAATATTTATCTAATTATTCACACCTACCTTTTTTTCATACACGTCTGAACCCAAAAATACGGATCATTGCAAGCCCCTACTGTACAATTGCACTCCGGATTTTGAGTTTTTGCTTACACTATTTGACCACTCGTCTTATTAAAAAAAATTTAAATTATTATTTATTTTTTGACTTACTTTATTATAAAAATACTTTAAGCATAACTTTTCGTTTTTTATATTTGTACAAATTTTTTAAATAAGATGAGTGATCAAACAGTAAAAAAAACTTAAAATGCTTGGACGGAGGGAGTACATACACTGCGGACACCCCGTGGGTTTCGGGGGTTCTCCTGGGCTCTCCTGCTGCCGTGCACGTAGTCGGCGCTAGGCGCAGCCGCGCAGGTTAGTCGAGGTCGACCCGTCCCCTCCCCCGCGGGGCCCGCCGCCGTCGTCGTCGATTGATGGCCGCACGCCGACAGGGAGGCCGCTCAGTGAGGAGATGCGCTGCATGCAGCCGCGACGTACGACGTGATTGAGGTGAGAGATCGTACGTGCTATGCTACTCCTCGATATCGCTTCGGACGCACGGCGGTAGCCGGGGGCGTGCAGCGGCCACCGGGACCGGGGTAGCAAGCGGGGGCTTCTTCTCCCGGTCAAAGGGCCACTCAATCAAGCCGGCCGCCTTTCTTTTCTTCTCCCTTTTCATTACTGCCCCCCTCCTCCTCTCCTGCCGTTGTCCAGGGCTTTTCGATTAGTTGTTTGGCACGTGACACGAGTTTGCTCTTCTTCCCGGCTGGATATGCAGATCGGCGGCGATTCACTGTGTATTGCACTGCACGGTTATACTATGGGAAAGCAAAATGGTCGTTTCATATCCCTAAATTTTTACGTAGGCTATATTTAGTTCACACCAAACTTTTCTCCAAATCTCAACTTTCCATCACATCACATCACATCTAAAACTTTCCTACACACATAAACTCCCAACTTTTTTTTCCAAACTACCAATTTTTCCTAAACTTCTCCCCAATTTCAAAAACTAAACACAGCCACGAAAACGAAACTCAGTAAACTTTAGTTAACCGGAAACTGATCATCCTTAAATTTCCGATACCGCGTTTACTTACATAAATAAAGTTCAGGGATGAAAAGTGTCAGATTTCCAAGCTTAGAGATAATCTTTAGACTTTCATGGAAAATTTAGTGTTGTACCTTTTCCTATAGAAAACTAAAATTTAAGTTTGTAATGATAAAATTTTGGCAATCAAGCAATGTTGCTACAAATTAACCTTTCGGTTAGCCTGGTTGGTAGGACAGCATTGTATTTGGTCTGTTACCAACAACAATGGCAGTTATATAATTTGATATTACATGGGTTTGGTTTAAGAATAATTATTATAATAAATAGCCTTACCAAATTTTGATTAGCGTTTTCATTTAGCCATTATACTAGTATACATATTATATATAAGAGAGAATCCCTTATATGTCACTCTAAATTAACTGGCTCTCTTATATGCCACTTCAAATTGGCTTCTCCCTTTTATGCCACCGGTTCAAGTTTCTCCTCCCTTTTATGCCATTGCCGTCAGTCCACCGTCAGTTAACCGTTAACTTCATTGTAAAAATACGCATTTGCCCTTGAGAATTAGTATACAACCAATAATAGGTATTTTAGTACTAATATAGCTACTGGATACAACATATAAAAATTGATTTTTTTCTGCATCACATGCAATTTTAGCCATTACCATCACAAATAAATTTTCAATATAAGCATGAAACATGCAGTTTTCCAACAATATTTTTAATATAAAGAGCATTTTTCACTGGTTCTGACAAAATTTTGTTCACTCAAAAAGAAGTTTACACATTTTTTAGTTGAGAGGGCATATTGGTCATTTACGAAAAAAAACTAACCTTTGACTAACAGTCAACTAACATTATAGTGGTGGGAGTGGCATAAAAGGGTAGAAAAACTTGAACTAGTGGTATATAAGGGAGAAGCCAATTTTAAGTGGCATATAAAGAAACTGGTCAAATTGTAGTGGCATATAAGTAATTCTCTCTATATATAATATATGAATAGTCCGAATGACCCATTCGGCACGACCCATGCTAACATCACACCATATGTATCCCTATCTAGTGACGTGGTTAGAGATGCGCTCATTTCCTCATTTTCTTTTTTAATATATAGGACATACCTGCAAGTTAACTAGGCCACAATATGGCATATCTTATCAACAGCTATAGAACTCGTGTAGGCAGAAATGGTCCATTCAGTGACGTCCATGCTAACATCATATAGAACGTTCCTCTAACACTGCTATAGTTGTCTCAAAATCTAAATATTATTTTTTTTATTTGATCATATACTCATGTTTTGTTTTCCTGTGTTCAAAACCGAGGATAAACATACATTATAATATTATTATAATATTATGTAATCAAAAGATGCTAAGACACACCCACTCGTGTGTGCAAGGACAGACCCAGGCTCCTGTGTTACAATAAAATATTATCGTGTACTTTATCCATCCTAAAATAAACAAATTTAGTACGAGATGTGATATATTTTAATAATACGAATCTGAGCATGCATTTCGTGCTAGATCGATCCATAGTACTATGATGGGTGGCATCATGTGCTATACCGGGCTCATGTCAGAACACTATAGGCCAACATAGGTCTTAGGTTAGAGTTTTTGTTTTTAAAACTCAAAACTTTATTTATATAGATCAAGGACAGAGTTTAAGGGAAACAACATCCCCAATACATTGGCAACAAAGATAGAATATACATAACAACACCATTCAAACAGAAGGCAAAGCCGATTGAACTAAGAAGACTGTCCTCCAAGCTAAACAAAACAATAGTAATTGATGAGATCGATGGGGAGCTATGGCATTGCCAAGGCCACTACGTCCACAAGCCACTACTAAAGATGTGCACACCGCTCGATAGATCGGCGACCCCTTCAGTTGCCTCCACGAGAACTTCGTTGTTCAAGGTTTAATGTTGAGCCGTAGATTTTTCTTAGGCTTGATCGGACTCAACAATGGTTTGCCAAGAAGTTCTCTACCAAATCTGAGGAGCACTAACTGTAATATTATCAACAAAAGTCGAACAAACAGTCCGCACTCATCCAGAAACGGAGTTCTCATCTTGGATACTGTTGCAAGGAAAATTGGAAGACAATCCCAAACCCCAGCCTGCCTTAAACACAAAATGATTAGGAATGGTAGCAACTGAACTTAAGCCTTGGAACGATTAAGCGAAAGCGGAACACAGTAGCAACGATGGAAGAGATGATTCGATCAAGCCTCCCCACCATGCATTCCACTCTAACCTTGCGACTACAGATCGCTAGATGACCACTACCACGAAGAGCAATGGTGTTTCCAGAAGTGACACCCCCATGAACCCCAGACACTACACCAGGCATCAAGCAATAAGCCCACCAAAGACTTACTTGAAGAAATTGATGAACTTATTGAGAGGCCACCTCGCTTGACATCCAGAACCACGAGTACTTGAGGCTGGAGGATCAAGCGAACTATACCAGCTCTACCTTTTAAATACCAACAAGTAGGAGCCGAGCACACCCATTTTGCCCCACCTCCAGCCATCATCACCATGGAGAATGGGCTGACCACCCTAGATCCGCCATCTCTAGCTCCGTTCACCAGGCTGACCGACAAGCAAGATCCGGTTGTGTCGGATCTAGCCCCTCCACCTCTCGTCGCAACGCAAATCACGCCGACCCTCCTAGATCCGTCCACACTCATCGCGGGGACCATTGATGGGGAGGATGAGCTTGATGACTGATGAGAACCCTCTTCCTAGAGGCAAAGGGACACCCAAACCTACAACTACAGCTACCAACATCACTTTCTTGACATGGCAACTTCACCAATGAGACCCAAAAATAGGATGAAGTCGAGTTACAGGATGACCTGACTACATGAGGATTTTGACCTAAACTACTCTATATTAGTACAGGGAGGAAGCCTCTTCCAGCCCTCGTCAGTGGTAAACCACCAGTGAAATTGGAGGGGGCAGGGGTCAGGATGTGGGAAATTACCGTAACTTCTTGGTCGCCCTCGCACTCTCGAGAGATACCCTCAACAGGACACTTCATCCATCTAGGTCCATCCCGCACTTGTGTGGGTATGTGCGATGTGTGTGGGCATGATAAATGGTATGTTTTGCCATATTTACTTTCATATTTAGTACGATATATTGGTCCTTAAAAAAGACTAATCCCTCCATCCCAAAATACAATAACTTTTAATGTTTAAATTGTGTTCAAATATAACAACATAGTACTTATGAAATGTGACTTTTGCTACTAATTAAACCACATATACAACCCCTATTACCTCTTAGCTTTCTTATTGCCACCTAGTCACCTACCCCTAGAAGACAACCAAGCTTTTTTTACCTCTATACTAATAGCTAAAACTTGCTACTCCCTACTTTTCAAAATATAATAAGTTTAAACATTCCACACGTATATTAACGAGAGGAATAAAAATATTGGTTGTCTCATTGGGATGAGTGAGATATAAGCGTTCTTTTTATTAGGATACATATTTTACCTTGATATCCGTTTGCATGCTTTTCAAACGGTATGTTTTATGCGAAAACTTTTATATAGAAATCGTTTTAAAATATCAAATAAATCTATTTTTAAAAAGTTTGTAATAATTAAAATCCGATTAATCATGCACTAATTGTGTTTTGGTGTATCTGGAATATTTGTCCTTCAACAGACACTAGAAAGTTACGGCACCTCACAAAAGGGAAAATGGAGTTAGAAAAGGAAAAGGTTAGATGAGTATTCAAATAGTCTGAAGTTCAAAACCAAGACTTTCCATAATACTTTTACAGAAACAATGACAAATGTTACTGAAGCGGAAACATGACACTCAATAAACAGTAAGCTGGCATCCCATTTCCCATCCAAGGAAGCAAGAAATGTAAGAAATTGGAATTTATAAGCCCCAGCTAGCCAGCTTTAAAGTCTCAAACAGGTAAATAATCAGTGCAGGTAATCAGAGAAGCAGGGATATAACTCAAAACTATGTTGAACAGAGCCCGAGAGAATGCATGACAATGTTGAGTACACAATGGCAATGTTTTTTTCTTTCTCTGGATGACTTGCCACATAAGAATTTTTCGGCAGTACATGCAACAGTTTTGCAGCCTACAACAGTAAGAATGACTGACATCCATCCTAAACAGTAAACACTATCATATCGACCTCTGAATCTGGACCCAACAACAGTTCTAACCACAGGTGGCGATTTACACAATTTTGCTGCTGGGACAGACATTGGACCTACAGTTTATAAAACTTTTTATGCGCTATACCTCTGTTACATGTATACCAATCCCCCTATGCTGTGTACATGAATATACATGTACCTGCACAAAACTCAGAACAGCAATAAGTAGCTCGATTGAGCTTACTTTGCCCTAGAAGCTCGACACGAAAAACCCAGCTCTCGCCGGCCAGCTCCAACAAAGAAAAAAAACCCTCCATAGTCCTTGTGACAGAAGCATCCCAAGCCTCGGTCCAAAAAACAGAAGAGATTCGGAGTATCTGATGATGTTAGCGTACTCAACAGCCTGAGTATCAGATCTCTAACTATTCTCAAACAGGTATCCGCAGATGCCGAACAAATTTCAGATAATAATGGAGTCCTAACGCACTGCATTGCAGTCCTGATTCATCAGTTGGTTGCCCATCATAAATTGCCGCGGATTCTGTCGATTCTGTGAGTAAACTGAGTGAGCATACACACATTTGGGCAAATGGGTTGGCCAGACAATGGACATCGTTATGTCTGAATGGGTGCACTTCTCCTTTCCATAGATGTCGTTGGTGACACTCTTCATGAAGTCTTCTTTCACAGAGTCGATGCAGATGTTTGTACTCGTTCTATACATGAGACCCCAGAAAAATACGACATTAGGCTCAATCATGCTATGATCGGCTTGTTCTGAGGGATCTGGATCACAATCAACACCAATGCTTTCTAACTGCAGAACATCAGTTTGGATATGTTACAATCAGAACTTGCAGCTATAAATGTGAAGAAACAATGGGCAGGTGATGAAAAAAAAACCTTGAGAAGAAGGTTGCGAAATCGTGATTTCACCCATCCAACCCAATCACGTAATTCTTCAGCCACTGGAGCAGAAAGAACTATACGGAGAAAATGTTTGTATCTCACAGTATACGGAAAAGGTGCAAAAAGCTCAGTCCAATTAATATCACCATTCCTATCACCCTGTTCAACAGTGCAAACACCAAGCTAGATGTTAGCAGCAGAAATTTCAACGATGAAAGCAAATGTCACCCTAAAGTCCACCAAAGTGCAGATGACTGACAAGAACATTATCGAGGATTCTAGCGTTAGCAAAAGACCATGTAAGGCAAAAGCACCACTTCCTAGCTGTCTGCTTAGTTAAAAAACATACCCATGAATAGATCCACCTATATAATTGACATAAGTTAAAAATAGGTCTTCCTCAGCAAATTACATAATTTGCAACAGTTGACTAATAGAGGGATCTCACTACCCAAAGCAGATGAAGTATACAGATAAATTGGACCTTAATTATTTTTCAGTGAGGTGTAGAGCAGTGCTACAGTTACGAGCTTCAAAGTTTTTTGGTAAGTCTTCAAATACTTCTGTTTTTTTAAAAAAAAGATAAAAATGGCATAGCAATAATAAAAACAAAGAAAACAAAATTTGTGGGTCAATTTGTTTCATTTGAATATTCAATGCTTTTTAAAAAAGAAACGGTAGGTGCTCTGACTACTGCATAAAAGGAGACTGGATATTAAATGCTTAAAATAGAGTTAACTGAAGATTCAAGTAACAAATTATTCAAATATAACAGTTCAGCAAAAACAAAAGAGGAAGGACTGACCATATACTAGTTGCACTAAGACTAGTTACTCATTTTCTTTTTCTGAACGGAAAGTGAGAGAGTACAATGGGTTATTAGCTAAATAGTAGTTGATAAAGAATAAGCAATTCAACATACCTTGGTCAAAGCAAAACCACGCTGAAGTTCTTCTTTGATTTTGTTAAAGGTACTTCTTGTTATACTAGAGGCACAAAATTCTGGTGGAGAACAGGGCATCACTATGGGCATGAAAGAGCAGCAATGAGGTCTCCAAGGAGTTGGCTGATCAAGTAAACTCACTGGAAGAGGCCAATGCCAGTGAGAAAATATATCAAAGAATGAGTTGAACAAAGAGCTGAGAGTAGCATGTGGATGCATGATACAAACAAATGCTGCAAGAATCGCCAAATGGATCCCAGCAAAGAAGCCAAGTAGCTGAAAATAACACCATAAAATTAAGTATAACACTGTAAGACCAAAAAAGAAGACAAAACCATAAGCTGTCATTGATAAAGAAAACGTAAGCCACATACATGGCAATGAAGCCCTCTTTTTCTCGCCCATAGTTTAAGGCACCGCAAAAGAATTTGAAACTTCTGCATTAAACGTCAGAAAAAGGAAGCAGTTAAAAAAAAGAAAAAGACTATTAGCAAGAAAAATTTAGAGAGCTCAGCAGATAAAAGATTCAACATAGAATAAGGGAACCGTAATGCATTATTGTTGCATTAACAAAAAATAACCAGGAATAAGAAAGTGAAACAAAGGTGCGAAAATATGAAATAAAATACAACTACCATGAGAAAATATGAGAATGGCATATAAATTAATCAAGCGAGGCTAGTGTTCGACCTTTATATTTGGAAGCAATTGCATGATTTGTCTATTAACACGAACTCCAGATAGACATCTCCAGCTTGGTTCATTAACCGCCGCTAGCAAGCGAGGGTCAAATGCATGTATTGCCTGCATCACCAAACAACTTGTGAGAACTTGAATTAACCACCACAATATTGTGTTTAACAATCTGTGTGTGACAAAATGGTTCACAGTTAGCCTTAATTGATAATGAACAACACATGTCAAACCAGGGAGGCCTAAGAATGGACTAGTTGATTATGTATCGTGTTTTAACTGATTTTAATTGCAGAGGCCAAGAGCATTCTAAAACAAATGTAGACAGTCAAATGGCAAACTAAAGCTACTGCCTGAAAAAATGGTGGGGGAAACCTAATCCATTAATAGGCATATAAAATACATTATTTTCAAAAAATACATTCCATAAACCAATTAAATATATACATCTATATATACACATAAAGACAGTGAAGGCGTCATTCCTTATAAATGCTCTGCCATTTAAACTCATCAAACAGAGCACAAGTAAATGTACAACTCAGTTATTGAAATGAAGTCATGGTGTTATGGTGAACATTGACTATTACATTCAAACTAAGCCTGCAACAGCAGTGGTGGGACTCCAGTATCGCCGTTGAATCAAAGCCAGTGATACTGGAGCCCCACAATAACACATGACCTCGAATTCATTTCATTTTTTTCTGGGGGGATCTAATCCATTAATAGGTACTTAACAAGGTAGCATGCAATGCTTTCGAAAAATATTATGCATGATTGAATGCAATTCTGCAAAAAATGAAACCATATCATGGTAAAATATTGAAGGAAGTTAAAAAATAAAGCCTGCAAATTAGCTCCAGGACATCACCAGCAGGTTCTATATCTTCAGTGAAAGGTGTTGTTTTAAGAAAACTTGACTGAATCAACAATTAATCATGGGACAATTATAACACATATATAAGGTAGTACAGAACACTAATTATGATAGCATGTAACTATAGTCATGTAATCAAAACAATCATAAGACATAAGGTACTTGCCTCTGCAGCATTGATAACTGGCAATTGGACATATGGGAAATCAACTAACATCCCGTTAAATTTAAAGCGCATCAATGGAACCTTAGCATTTTCAATAGAATGCAGGTCTGATACTTCTGGCCTCTCTTCAAGCATTTGTCGCAAGACAATGAAAAAATGGTGCTATACAATAACACACATACACACTGAGTTAATTTCGAAAGCTCCAAGCTAGTGGACAAAGGGAAAACTGAAAGAGATATTCACCTGTAACGATGCAATACAAGGGCCAACACAGACTGCGTCTATATCAGATTCAGGTCCATATGCCTTCAAAGCAGAACATTTTAGGCAACGCTTGTCACAATAAGATATATTAAAAATCTCAAAGGGGAATTCCTAGTTACGAGGCAATGTTATAGACAAGCAAAACAAAGTTAAAATACTACTATTAACCCAGTCTATTTTATCAACATGTAATAAAAGATTAACCGAGCCAAGATTGTATGCATAAGTATATTTCCATCCTTAAAACTCTGCACAATGTCAACAATACAAATGGATATTTAGTGAGTTCTCTAATTCCCTGATTTGCCTACCATCAGTCTTTCAAGCATGGATTTAAACATCTTACATGTTATTTACATGTAGAATATTGTCCATGGGAACAGATGTCAAGATTTAATCTTTCTATGTATTCCTTAACCATATAATCTTATGTCAAATCAACAAACACCACATTAAGTTGACTATGCACAAGCACAACTAAGAACATATGATCTATCCATTCAGAAACTTTATTCGCTTACACTCACTAGTCACTATGGCATATTCTGGCTCATCAATCCAGAATAAATCATTAAGTCACCAAGAGGCTTAGAAAAAGAACAATGAGCAAGCCAAAGAACCAAGTTTCTCCTTTTTTTTCTCTCTCTCTCTCTCAGGTTCTGGTCATCTTCTTTAGCACACAAAAACTAGAGCAGTAAATTGTTTCCACTCAAAAAAATGATTGAAAGATTGTTTGAGCTCACAAATAAACATGCTCTGCTAAAATTAACATGGCATACATGTAATTCCAAATATTAAAACAACGAGCTATGTCTAGCTCGTGGCTTCTCCTGTAGCAGCTCTAAAATGCTCATAACCAAGAGCAGTGGCTGAAAATGACTGGGCAATTGACGAATTAATGGTAACACTTTTAGGTTCAAAATGAGCACAACATATGACAGATAACTAAATGCATTGCAAAATAATTATATCACTCCAACAGTATACACTATAAAATCAATCGGACATTGCATCAACACAAAAAAAAAATCCCAGAAATTGTGCACAAATCGAACATTTCTTGTTTACCCCCAAAGCATACGACCCAAAGGTCAACACCGTAGCTGTTGTGTTCCAATATTGTTCCCTCTGGTCGTACGCCACCCTCTTCGCCCAACCCATCACTATCTGCAAAAACCACCATCGGATCAAGGCTCTCAGACCAGTCAGCATCGCAAACTTTAACCTTTAAGCTCCGAAACCCGAACGATCATTACCTTATCGAGCTCCCGCACCACCACTTGCCTCTTCAACTCCTCCTCCGGCGAGGGCAAAACCCCCGTACGAGAAATGAACTAAACCTCGTAAAAAAAAACAAGAAGATCCCCCCAAAATTAGCCACGAGATCAAACACCATAGGACCATACGATGAAGCGTACGAAGCTTAAACGCCCCCGGTGCTCACGTTGAGGAGGGATTTGCTCCGGAAAGCGTCAGTCCGCTCGGCGGCCGCGGGATCGAGCCCGCAGATGATCAGGTGCTGCGGGAGCCACGGCGGGGGCGGCGGGACCCCCCGGAGATACATCACCGGGACCGGGGGCATCGGCGGGGGCGGCGGCGGGCCCATGGGTGGTGGTGGCGCCACGGGGAAACCCGGTCGGGCCCTGGACGCCATCCGGGTGGCCGACGAGGCCGACTGCCTGCCGCCGCGGCTGCTGCGGGACATTGCCCGGGGCCGGCGAGGCCACGCCGGTCCGCGTCGCCGCGCGCGGTGGTGTTGGCCGCGGCCGGGGGGACGTCGAGAGAACCCCCCGCGTTTTCAGTTGTTTCGAGGCAGAAAAAAAAAGGCTCGAGGCCTCGAGGGGGTTTTGAGTTGAGAGGTTGTGTATTGGGGGGAGTTGGGAAGGGGAAAATGGGGGAGAAAAGAGTCGAGGCAGGGCGGAGGAGAAGAGAGAAGACGGTGTGGCAACGACAGGAGACGGGGGGGTTTATATAGCGGGGGTTGGTGGTGCCAACGGACACGGGGGTTTTGCGCTGTGTTTGCCGTGTGCGATGGGTGGAGGGGGGGCGAGCGCGAGCCGCTGACGTGGTGGAGCACCGGTAGGGGGCGTAGGGTACGCGTGACCCGGCATGGGTACAAACGGCAACAGCTGCTGACAAAAAAAAAATGATGTTTATGGAACTATTCTGCAAGCCGGCTGCAGACTACTCCCTCCGTACTCATAAAGAAAATTGTTTAGGACAATGTTTAAGTCAAACCTTGAAAATATAAATCATGAATAACTCTCAAGATGTTGAGTTTGAAAATATAAAAATTATATGAATAGATTTGTCTTGAAAAATGCTTTCATAAAAGTATACATATATCACTTTTTAATAAATATTTTTATATAAACAAGAAGTCAAAGTTATGTTTTGGAGACCGTGTCGCTGTCATAAACGACTCTCTTTATAAGTACGAAGAAAGTATACTCCTGCATACGGCACTGTTGGTGTCACCGAATAGGTCCTATCTCAACAAAATTGCTACTCTAGGATGGTTGTAGTTTTTTAAACTTCTAAGATAGTAGTATGGGTCGATTTTAGCTCACCATATTCTTATGTATGTGCTAGATAGTGCTACTATAAAAAAATTGATTGTAGCGAGAGAAGTTAATAGTATCATAGTATAGTCCTGCTTTTCGTGCCACAAATATCATAACTCCTCATGTAAAACATTATAAGTATTTTTCGTGCCGAAACTTGAATGGAAACAACGATTATATTGTTTTATTGTAAATGCACCATTATAATCCGTGATTAGATTCGTGCTTTTGGTACACGCTATTCTATAACCTGGAGAAGGATTGATCGACTGAAAGTAGGATTAAAGCCAAGGTAAAATGGTGAGAAAGAAAATATTGTCATTGTGTAATTATTCCTTCATGAGAATAATGAGTTGCATTCTTTTATGATATTGAATGACTGCTATCTGTAATCTGTGGCTATAGTTTAAAAAAGGGCGCTTGATAAATGTAGCCATTTATGTCCATATAGATTGCAGTTACTCATGATGAAGACGAAGATATGCATAATTAATTCATTTATGAAAAAAGATATGCATAAGTTTTTATGTACAAATGATACGCGGATTAATTTGGAGAGAGAGAACGATTTGTCACTTAATAAGTGTAGTCATTTAATGTAGTCATTTATGTTCAGATATGCTTATGTTTATCAATGACTGCTATCTAGAGTCAAAGTTATACAAAAGGGCACTTGATAAATGTAGTCGTTTACGTAGAGATAGATGTTACTCAATGTAGATGAAGATATGAATAACTAAACCATTTATGAAAATATACACATAAATCTTTGATATACGAAATGAGATACAAGAGTTATATGGGATATATATAGAGAACCATTTCTCACTTTATAAATGTAGTTGTTTACTTCCAGATGCTTTAGTGTTTATCCATTGGGTATACGAAGATACAAATTAATCTGACCATGAAAAGGTACATTTCTAATCTTGATATACACAATGAGGTACACAAATTAATATGACATATTGAACCACAGCTCACAAAAATGTTACAATAATTTCCACTATGTCGTCCATAAAAAACCAGTACATTGATCCGTGACATTTAAAGAAGTGATTTAGATCCTTATAAAGAATAATAAAGATTTAATCTTGGGATAAAGAACAGCAAAAAAGAAGTAAATGTAGGACAATGATAAACTACCTAACTTGAACATTATCTAGGCTTGTGGGCTCATCCCAAAGAAATGAACTACTGAAAACATTCACAGTGCACTTAAGTAGTTAATGATGTGTTCGGAGGTGGGGGTTGGGAACCCATCTCCTATGCACGGAAAACGGAGCGGTTCATTAGCACGTGATTAATTGAGTATTAACTATTTTTTTCAAAAACGGATCAATATGATTTTTCTAAGCAACTTTCGTATATAAACTTTTTGAAAAAAACTCACCATTTAGTAGTTTGAAAAACGTGCGCGCAAAAAATGAGAGAGGAGAGTTAGGAAAATAGAGTACCAAACACAGCCTAAGGAGAGAGGAGTGGAGGCGAGTGGCTTCCACATGAAGCTTGTGCCCCTTTGCAAGGAATGAGTGCCTCACCTAGAAAAGGCTCCTGCTATGTAGAGCCACTCAAGGGGAGCCGCATTGGTTGATCTTGTCACCTCGCTACATACTGCAACGGTCCCTCATTAGCACGTCAAGCTGCTCTGTTGTCGTTGTTAGGGTCTTCACCACCATGGGCCACGCAAACCATCACTACATACAAAATTTTCGTTGAGACCGTTTGTTCTAAGCAGTGCCACCGAGGTTGCACTTTAACCACATGCACCATCCAAACCATCATATTTGAAGCGGTAGCAAGGAGGAGGACAGGAACGGGACGTTGGATTTGCAGTGGTGGCAAGGAGGACGGGAACGAACAATAGGAAGGGAGGCATGGTGATGGTGGTAGGGGAGGAAGGAGATTCGGCTAACGACAACCTTCGTGCAACTAGAGCTGTTCATGCATGATGCAGCAGCAGTCACTGTAATCTACCTCCTCCTCGACCATTACAACTAGCGCCCTCACCACCTTCTCTACTTATTTTTCTTAGACTCCGGCAGTGTCCTTGCCACCCGTCTTCATTTGTTTTGCCGGTGTGGGTGGTGGGGAATAAATGTTGGATTAGGTTACGCTACGTTTTTTATATTATTTTTTTGTTTTATTTGATTTTAGTGTATTTTTTAATTTACATGTAGATTGAAATATACAAGGGCTAAAATTAAAAAAAAAACTTCTGAGGTGGACACTTGAAGCCACTTGTATTGTGAGAGATGAACTTTTTCAAGTAAGGTTAAATCCAATTTACCTCCCACCCCCTCAACTATTATAAAAGCACAAATTATCCCTCTTAACTCCAATACCATACATTTTATATTCTCAATTTTTCAAACTAGACAAAATACCGCCTTAACCTAGCGAGGAACAATATTTTTGTCCTACTTGACATACAAGAGGCAACCCCATCAAAAAAACAAATTAAAAAAATGGTTGAACCCACGTGTCAATGGTCGCCTCATCTTGATGCACTCTTCCTCTCTTCGTCACTTCTCTCCCATCTGCCAACCACCGGCGAATTTGCCTCCTCTCCACTGCCCACGAGCAGTAGCAAAGGCGAGCTCGAGCTCCAACACCGCATCCGCCTCCTCTGCAGAGATCCATCTCCACCATGTGTGTTTCTAGGAGCTTTAGCACCGCAGCATCTCATCACCTCTTCTCTTTCTCCCTTTTTGACTGGAGCGGTAGGGTGCGGATCAATTAGAGCTAGTGGCAGTGTGGGCGAATGTGGAGCTCTAGGCAGGGTCTAGTGAGGTGGAGGATGAAGTGACATCGACTTCTTCCCCCTTTATCTTATCTCCCTCCCTCACCTCATCTCGAGCTTAGATATCGCTGGCTGCCTAGCACATGGATACCAAGAGGAGATGCATGGTTGTGGCTGGCTGGCTCAACAAGGGCAAAAACAACTAACGTGGATCGCTGGTCATGGAGTGCCCGGTGAGCTAGGCGTTGGAGCTGAGAAAGGGAAAGGCACTTACAATTTAGTCCCACCATTTTTTAAAAATGTTGTTTGACTGGATTGCTACTTCAGTGCCAAAACCGCTTGAGAACAGGAAGGGGGCGCCATGTGTCCGGATTAAATACTATAGGAGGTCATTTGTACTTTTGAAATCGTGAATGCCCTAAAAGAAGGAATAAGTTCACCGGAGGTCCCTCAACTCAACAGCAAGATTTTTCGAGGTCCCTTAACCACAAAACCAGAAATGTCTACCCCTAAACTCACTCAAACCATTCACCGGAGGTCCCTCGGCAGTATTTTCGCCTGATTTTGCTGACGTGGCATCCTAGTCAGCAAAAAAAAATTAAAAAAACACGTGGGGCTCCACATTTTTTTCTTCTCTTTTCTTCTTCTCTCCTCTTCTCCTTCAGGCTGTGGGCGGAGGAGGAGCAGCCGCGCGCCGTGGCCGCCGTCGTCGTCGGCTCTCCACCGTCGTTGTCGCCGTGAGCGAGGCTACGCGGCGCGGCCGTCCGGCGGCGAAGCAGAGGCAGCGGAGCGCGGCGGCGGAGCGGAGCAGCCGCGCGCCGTGGCCGCCCTCGTCGTCGTCTCTCCACCGTCGTCGTCGCCGTGGGCGAGGCCTAGAGTTACATGCATATATGCATTCATTCATGAATATATACATATACACTTTCAACCCGTGCAGCCTGCAAATCAATCACAAGCTGCTTTTGCTTTGGTCTTTTTCTCTCTATTGCATGCATGTATCCCTCACTTGAGAACCCATAGCTATCATGCATGCGTTCACGGGCTTTTGGCCTTTCTTCTCTCGTGCGCGGAGGGACGCCATTGCCGCCGACAAGCTCGCGAGTGAAGCTCGGCCGGCTCTCTCTCCTCTCTGGCGAGAAGAGCGCCAAGGCCGCCCTGCCCGACGACGACGATTACGAGCCCCCTGCGCCGCCGCTCCCACCCGGGGACGGCGACGACGATGAGGAGCCCATCAACCTCGTCTTCAAGGGCGGAGATGAGGCCAGCGGGAGAGGGGGTGGCGCTCCGCATCGGCGAAGAGGTCGCCGCCGACCGCCTGCCGCCGCTCCGCAGCCACACTTGCCCCCCCTCCCCGCCGCTCGCCGACCAGGCCCCCCGCTCCGTCGTAATCGCCCGCTGCCCTCCGCCCACCGCTGCTCCGTCTACCGCGCTCGTGGAGGTCAACCAACACGACGACGACACCGGCGGTGAAGAGCTGGAGCATGACGAGCGCCGCCGCTCCGCTGCCACTCTCACCCGCTGCCCTGCCCGCCGCTCCCGCCGTCCCAGCCGCCTCTCTCCCCCTCTCCCGCCACCGCTGGCGCACTCGCTCCACGCCGCCCGCCGCCGCGCCCACTTCCTC